TCACCATGGAGGGTGGACCACCAAGATGGACTGGATATTCCACACAATTAGACAGCATGCACTAAACTGATGCTGCAGACAAACCCAATCCACCAGTCCCAGCATGGAGTACTTCACGCAGACGAGTTTTTCAAGGCTCTTCTCGTTTACAGCAGATATCACAAATGGCTCCCTGAGGATGGATGCTTGCAGCTTGATCTGTTTTTTCTTTACAGCATTTTTCTTTTTCTAAACGAGGTTCTTGTGTTTCTGTGGTTTTTTTGGGGGGGTTTTGTTTTTTGTTTGGTCTTGATGATGCCGTCCGAGTATCCGCTGCCTGTTTCAGGGTCTACATGGGAGCATTTTCCTGTTGCTGTGGAGGTGTACCCACCATGGCTATTATGCTTCCTCTGTATTTTTTTTTTTTTTAAACCACAACAGGAACAAACTGGGCAACCAAGGAAAATCTTATCCTTTTACTCCATTGCTCAGTGATAAAAACCAAAACCCGGAAAACTCAGTGTAAAGATGACATTTTTGCCAAGGTATAAATGTAGCCACACAGTTCAACCTGCTGCCCCCTCTGCTGTATTAGTGCTGCACACTTTCTCCACCTAGAATGGAGGTTGTTTTTTTTTTAATCTTGTCACCCCTGTCATTAGGAGCTAGTTGGCACAAGAAATAGTCTAAATTAGCTGCGGTTTGTTGTACAGTACGGGATAACTGGTGCACGGGAGCCTTTATGATGTCTTCCCCCATCTTTGTGGTGAAGTCGCCCCTTCGCAGATGATTTGGAGTTGTCTCTCCTTCCTTTGAACTCCTTGTGTGGAAACGTCAAGGTTGCAAATCTGCAGGAGAGTCTTTGAGTTGTTTTGCACGGATCTGCAGGCCTCCACCCTCCACCAAACAGCCTCATTGAGTCAGCACTTCACCGCAGAGATGGTGGTGCAGCTTTAGACTCTTGCATAAACTTCAGGGTGATGATGCCTCTCCATCAAAAAAAACTGCACTTAGAGAATAATATACAGATTTATTATGACTTTTTAAATTTATTTATGTACCTAGTTTCTTTCAGTTTCAGCAAAAGGCAAAACCTGAACTTGACTCTTCAGAAACACGGTTTTGTTTTGTTTTTTCATTGTGTGTGTGCGTGTGTGTGCGTGTATCTGTAAATATAATTGAGGTTGAAGCATCTGTGTTACATGTTTGCAGCTTCACACTACCACCAGTGCTACCGCTTACCCCTGTTACTTTACCCCTCAATTTTTCAATTTTTTTATATTCACAAAGTAAGACTGATGTTGTTGTTTTGGGGGGTTTTAAGCTTTTTTTTCCCTTATATTTAACATCTAATTTGGCCTTACCCGATTCGTTGTGGCTAGTTTACAGCCCTACTTGGGATAATTTGTTAAATGATGCAAAATGGAAAGCGTTAAAGTGCCAATCTCACATTTGAAAAATGGGACCTATATTAAGCCTCTGGCTGTGTTTTTGTTTGTTTGTTTGTTTGTTTGTTTTGTTTTGTTTTGTTTTGTTTTTTGGCAAGCAGAGGCCCTGGGGAATGTCAAGTCTTCCTCTTGATTAAAAGCCTTGGCATCACAGCACAACACTGCACACTGTTGAGCCCTACAAACTCTGCCTAAGCAAACCCTGACAGCACTAAGTCAAAAAGCATGGCAGGCTTAGCGAATGATTTGACCGCCTTAGCGGTCCTTTTGACCTTGTTAGACTGGCGGGTCTTGACACATCTCTCATTAGAAAGTTGCTAAAATGTTGAAGTATATTTTAAATTGTGTTTTTGAAACATTTGATTTGAGGCTTGCAGTCTTTTGCCAAGTGGAGACACTGAATTATGTTGGTCTTGTATTTTTGTTTTTGGTTGTTTGGGGATTGTTTTGTGTTTTTTACATTTGAAAATCACATTGAAATAGTAGCATGAGTGTCTCGAGGGGGAGGTTAGTTAGTTACGAGATGAAGTCCTCAGAAATTCAGCTGGAAGCCTCTGAAAGTGGGCGCTTGCTCAGCAGATATCGGATCGTTTATCCAGGTGGCAGAAAATGTATTGAAAGATGAAAAATTTAAACAGATTGTTTGCACTTTGGGGCAGCTTGAGGTCATGTGATTGGCACAATGAATATTCATATTAATGCTCAGTTTGTGTGTACAACCCAAGACGTGAAAAAAAAGGTATAAAACCGTTTTGGGTTGGGGGGGGTTTGGGTGGGGGGCCTATGAGATACGAAGAAGAAGAAGAGTTAGCAGTGTTACATGAAGCAGCTTGGAAACTCTTGTTCCATAGTGTCTTTTGGGCAGGCCGTAGTTGGTGGAACTCGCGGTGTGCTCTGCTAAGGAGAGAATGTAGTATTTTACAAGAAATGGAGCCTCTCACGGTGCATGTAGGAAAGACACTAGGACACTACAGTATGAGACCCGGCGTGTCTGTGGGGAAACAGTCTGCACTTTGCCGCTTCAACTGCTGATTGTATAGAAAAGCCAAAGTTGTGTTCTGTCGCGATGCGGCGCGCGCACGTGCGTCACATCATTGCAGCATTAATGGCTAGAATGTATTCAGTCGCTAACATTGATGACTCATCTTTTTGCATCAGTAACGTGTTTCTGTCCCTACACAGCAGGTCATCGGCACAGAACGCATTCCTTTGTTTTCTCTACGTGCCAAATCGGACAGTATCGCTGATGTCTGCAAAAGCTGATGCTTGAACAGTGTCATGCAGTGAGGCATATTACAGACTTTTACAATTAAAAAACAAACAAACAAAAATACAAAAAATATTGTGGTATGCACTTAAAGAAAAACTCTAGTTCTCAATGCCTTTTTGTCCAGAAGGACTCTATAAGAAGAACGTTAGCCTAGTATGCATGCAGCACAACCAGTATGTATGTAAGATGTACATTTTGAAGCAGCATTAAGCAGTATGTATGTACAGTTACAGTCTAGCGTTTTTCTATGGTAGGCTTCATGTGTAGTGTTCTCTTTAATATCCATGTACTCTCCAAACAAAGTGTGCGAGCGTGTGCGTGCTCCGTTCTGTACAGGTTGCAGAGCTTCATTGGCGGGCTCCAATGAAAACCCTACACACTGTGTGTATGTACATGTTCTGCCTCTGTGTGATGACACTAGCAGCAAAGGTGTCTTTAAATGTTTTATAAATCATTTTCTCTCCTGGCTGGTTTGTGCCAGAGAAGGAAAACAAACACACACAAAAATGCTGTTTTTTTTGCATCATTTGCAAGGAAACATAAATGAGGGTAAACTTAGATTTTTTTTTTCTTTTTCATGAATCAGTCGTTTTACTTGAAGCACCATGAATCGAAACCACAGCTGTATTTTGTCAGTTTAGATTTGAGGTGTAAGGGGTCTGTGTGTGTTGTACCGATTGCTGAAGCATTGTGTACAGGTTGCCTGTTTGACACCCTCAGTAAATGTTAGTGATGCCGCAGAAATGCATTTTCAGCTAATGAAGAACTAAAGTTGCGCTTGAGTTCAAATTTTCTGAGATCAGGTGGCAGCTTTGACGTCACAGGGGAAAACGTAGGAGGAAATGTGGGCGTCTTCTTTAGACCATGCTCGTTTAAAACGTCTTCTAATCCCTCAGCTTTGTTTGGTGCTGAAGTGGTGCAGTAACTGTTGCCCAACCATTTTCTCCCTGAACCGATTTTTTTTTTTTTCCTATCCTTTTAACCATCACATGGCTCAGCACAGGTTCAGATTTACAAATCATGCCATCACAGGATCTGATTTCTCTCCATTTGTTGCAGTTTAACTGTATGATTGGGTTATGTGCAGGAGACAGAGTATCACAAAGATACATCTCTGTTGTTTTGCAATCTTGCAGAGTCAGCTGACGTCAGAGATGACTGTTGGTTGTCTTTAAACCCCCTATGTGTCCAAAGAACCGAGAGCAGAGGGAAAATGGTTCACTGTGACCATAACAACACAAACACCAAGCGAATGTAAAAGTCTGCAGCCTCTGTGAAGACTATAGTGTACTGCCTCTAGTCTGAGGTGTCTCTGTTACTGTTCCTATTTGTTTACCTGGTGTTCATGTTATTGTGTCCACCATCTTTTTAATTGTATGGAACCCGATATTTAGAAATGAAGCAACGACGGTCCCTCACTCTCTCAGTGAATTGAACAGATGTTGAAGGGTTTGAACACTTAGACTTGCAGGGAATACAAATATGGACAAAATATGTGAAATATTGATCATTTATATTCAATTTGGAGGTTCGGAAGTGTCTCTAGACTCTCACACATGGCTACATGCTCTGTGGTTTCATTTTAATACTTTTTTCTTTGTTTTTTGGTATGCAGTACTAATATTTCCATAACATACCATGTTGTCAGAACTCTAGCCTATACTATGAATGAATGTACGCCGGGCCAATGTATTGTTACTCACAGCCTACCTGCATGATATTGGGTGAAGCTGAATACTCTTCCTGCTGCATTTTGTTTTCCTTTTTTTTTTTATATTGTAGTCTAATAGGCAGCCATACAGACATTTATAAATGAATGCCTTAAGTTTGCTAGTTTCTAGGACAAGTTTGCCCTCACAGTAACCTGCTTTTTTATTTATAAATGTATGTTGTGTTTTGTTTTTGGGTCACTGGTCGAGGAGTAAAGGTTTGTACCCCGACTGACTGACTTACCGACTGACCGACTGACTGACTCATCATCTGAGTGTTCTGTGAAGATGTACAAATAAATTTGTTAAAGATTGACCCAGCTGTGTTTGCTCTGGCACTACAAACCTTGCAAAACATGAACATTTTCCACCAAATTTTAATTTTATTTTAAGCTTCAATGTGTAAGCATTTTATATTCACACAAACAGCACACAAACTGCTCTATCCTTTGATGAACTCAACTCTTTGATTCCAAGCAGACATCGCTTTCTTGAGAGCCGTAAAATTAGAGTTCTGTCTTAATTTCAGTTTCTTTCCCTCAGTTTTCTTAAGACTTACAAAACCCTAAAAAAATGTTATTAACTGAACCCATCTGTTGTATCATTTGAAACCTGGCATCTTACAAGACGATCATCATCTCCCAAAACTCCCTGCAGCAACTAGAGAACTAGTCTGCAACAAAAACAAAAAACAATCTGCTGGAAGAGCGCAACAAGTGGAAATTTTCTGTTATGAATCTGGCTCCCTTGAGGAAAGAAATTATGACAACAGGTCTGTATTGATGAAGGTTCCATCTGCTGAGGGCTGTGGAGAAGCCGCTTCTACGGTAGCCTTGGTAGGAGCTGCAGAGTGGTGAGGCTTCAAAGCTTTCCAGGGCTTGGATGGGCAGTGGAAGAGGTGGTCTTTCGCATCCTTGTCACGTGAAACTGACGGTGTGGCAGATGTGGTGTCCTCCTCAGATGATTCTTTAGTTTTAGCTGTGGTGGGGGGTTGTGAGGGTGAAGATGTAGCTGTGGCATGGGGTTTGACTGAATGTAGTGTAAAGCGATTTGGGGTATTATGGTCTTGAGAAGCGCTATGCAGGCCATTACCATTACCATACAGGAAGTGCCTGAGAGGAGACCAGCCAGGAGGACGACGCCTGGCGAACTTCTGAAGAAAAAGCAAAGGATTTATAAGAAGATGGACTCGCTAATGGACCTTCCTAATCAGTGACCTCTGTGCAAAAGTCTCAAGCCATACCTCATTTGTTTATCATTTAATTCCAAGTAGCCTGACTTTCTTGTAAATTGTTGAAATGCTCTTGAACTGCAAGTATTTCTCCAGGCTTTCTTAAGGTCAAATATTTACTTTGGACATTGGCTGCTTTTTCACTCATATTCAGTCCAGTCCTTCTACCTGATCATTTCAGAAGAATATTCTTTCATTTGTTAAGCCACTTCACACTAACCTAACATAAAAAGGAATGAGCGAGTGTTAACACATAACAAAGAACTTAGCAAAGAACCCATTTTAAATTCTATCCTGGCTTTAAAGGCTGAGTTCTCAAAGTAAGAACCGCAAATCTTCACCATTTCCAGCAACAAAACCAAGATGATTTTCTTCATATAGCCGTACTTTGCAATAATTTGGGATCAACTGTAATGTGACAAAAAATTCTGTTTTCTTTTTAAAAATTATTTCTTTTCTGTACGTTGACAGTGATTTCTGCGGAGTGATTAAAACAGAGCGTCTAATACGACAACCGACTGAAATGAGAATTCAGAGCCTAGTTAAACTTTTCCATTAAAGAAATGTGCTCACATTTCTTTTTCATGCAAACTGGTGCGTTTCTTTTAGATGGATAACACTTAATTTTCATAATTATAAAATTAATTTCCAATAACTTAGATGAAAGACTAAGATGGAATAATTTGAGGTGCACAAATTGGAAGGTTGGTGGTTAGATTCCCAGCCCTTCCAGTTCAAAATATCCCAAAGCAACCCAGATGGTAAACCCACTGGTACATCCAGTGGAGTGGGAGAGTGAATATTAGCCAGTGCAGTTACTATGTGAATGGTTTTCATTTATTTCCTGCATTCTTGTCTACTCGCTCATGTTTGATCATCCTGTGAAAAGAGGGACTTACAGAGGGTGGCAATTGACCCGGTGCACACTCTATGTGGGCCTGTGGTGGCTCAAGTCTCCAAGGTGCTACATCCACTGTAGAGTTGCAGTTGGCATATTCCTGCAGATGCACAGAACACACAGTGAGAAGCACATCTTGGCTGGGGTGATTTGTGCATTAGTTTTGGTTTACCAGATTATTTTCGTCTGGGATGCATATCTCGTTCAGGTCTGTGTGTTCAGCCTTGGAACAGACGGTCTTCTTCATGTCAAAAATCAGCTTAAATCTGAAGCCGGCAACCACCTACACAAATACACGTGATGCGTAAAGACAAAAAAGGAAAGAAAAAGAGATGCCTGTCCTCCCCATTTTCCCTTCACTTCCATGCCACCTGCTG